GTTCTCTTCCCAGGGAATAACCCCAATGCGTTGGAATAGAATCCTTTTGCTTTTGCATTGAACTTGTGTCCTGTGAGTGACTCTGTGGGGTGCGTCTCCTGGAGTTGGACTTCACTTTGGGGTCCAACACCAATCATCCAGACCAAAAAGCAAAGGGCCTGCAGGCTTCATTGTCACCACACTCTAAGCAAGGACACAACCCTGGAGGCCAAGTCTCATGAGGTCACCAGACGCCTGTAGTCACTTTATGTCACTTGTCTTTCTTCTCCTATCTCGTATGCTATGCAAGGAAGGCTAGTCTAATCTAACCAGTTTTATTTATTACTGTTGCTGTTGCTTTAAAGACAGACCCTTACAATGTAACCCTGGCTATTCTGGAACTTACCATGTAGCCTAAGCTGGCCTCGGGCTCTTAGAAGTCTCCCGCAACCTCCCAAGTATGCCACCACTCCTAGCTATAATTAAGTTTATTTAAAAGTCTGGTTTCTGATTTTGTTATTTCAGTAGTGTTTGTGTCTGGCAGCTTTGGGATCTTGAAATATTGGTCCCATCATCATCCCAGGTATCAGTTAGAGTCTCACTATGATAGAGCTTTGGCTTGATGGGACAACAGCTAAGCTTGCAGGGTCTGTGCCAAAGCAGTTCTCCTTTGTCTAGAATATGTAGGTGGCTCCACAGTTCCAATTTGAGACAAATCTTAGAGGCTTGCTCTTGGAAGAAGGAAGCATCACAATTAGGTTTAGCTGACCCAGTATATATGTGGAGGGAAAAGTGATGGAATGAGAAAATGGGGATAGCTGATGGACAGAGACCAAGAGTGGAGGATCTCAGGGTGGTTTAAGATGAGGCCCACTGGGAGGATCACGTGGGTTTGGCAGACAGTCCATAGCTTTTCTATACCTGGGTCTGGGCAGAACAGAGCCTGGCAATGCTAGTGAAGGTTGCTCTGTTTAGTTCTGAATAGACCCATCCTAGTCCCTAGGTAGGAAAGTAGATCCAGACATGTCTATTGCACTGTTACTTTATTTATTATGTTTTTGATGTTACTTTTTTTAATTGCACGGAATTACAGGTCAAAGTTCAGAAAGACAGTTTTGACAGTGCATAAATTTGCTTGGGTCAGGCCCCAGGAAATGGAAGATTCATTTTTCCCCCATTTTTCCTCTCCATCCGTTTTAAGTGCCCCAAAGTCCCAAGTCTCAGATCTCCATTTCTCAAAGAGAGGGTTTCTTCAAGAAAGTTTTTCCAGTTTAAATCAAGAATATTGATAGATAGACTTGAATGCTGAAATCACCTACCAAGGCAGCCTTGCATTTTAAAGACCACACACACCAAATGCAGAAGTCACCTGATTCTTCCTAATTGGTAATCATTTCCAAGACTGAGTCTTTCATTTCACCAGCACATTGGCCACCTCCACTGAAGTGGCCTCAAATGAACCCTTTAAAAGCCCACTCAGAGCCATCTGGAGCTGCTAACGTCCTATACACCAGAGGTTCTCAACCTTGCTAATGCTGCAACCCTTTAATACAAACAGTTACTCATGTTGTGGTGACCCCAACCATAAAATTATTTTTGTTGCTATGTCATGCCTGTAATTTTGCTACTGTTATGAATTGGAATATAGACATCTGATATGTAGGTATCTGGTGTGACCCCTGTGGAAAGGGCTGTGACCCACAGGTTGAGAGCCACTGATCTGCACCCGATCCTGAGTGGCTTTTCTTTTGTACCTGGCTCTGTTACCACCACACCTGTGGGTCCTGTACCCCAAGGTGACTGCTGCCCTGTAGACAGAATTGTAGCATAAGTTCTTGGTGTTCTGTTTGGTTGTATAGTTGAGCAATGCTTTATTCCATAAATTAGAGTAAGTGTTCCGAGGGACCCACAGAGATAGGTGCAAGGGCAGATTCAGGACAGCCATGTTTTAGTTACACTCTGTAAGACAGTCAGGGAGCCAGACAGCCCCAGGCTGTTTGTGTTGTGCTTTTACAAGGAGTTAAAGGACTGGGGGATGCTGCAACCACTCACCAAGTGCAAGCTGCTAAGATGGAGAATCTGCCCCATTGTCTCTCTTTCCACAGAGGTCAGAAAACAGCTCCCTTTAGGCTGGGACACTGGAGCTCCAGCCTAGTGACTCCATCTCAGCACTAATCCAGGCTGTGGGACCACTGAGGAGACACGTCCCAATCTGCAATGGCGTCAACATCAGCTTCTTTTCCTCCTTCCTCTCCCTTCCCTCTTCCTCCCCACTTTTTTTGTTTTGGGGGGTTCTGCATGTTTTTGTTTCTGTATAATTGAGGAAGGAATTCATAGGACACATGTGAGCTATGTAGCTGAGGACAGTCTTGAACTGCTAATGCTCCTGCCTCCACATCCCAAGTGCTGAGGTTACATCTGTTCCTACCATTCGTGGCTTAGCCTCTTTAGTTGCCAAAGCGCTCCAGGTGTGGAGCAGAGGTAGAGTCGGGTGCTGGGCCCTTAACCTTCATGAAACGAGTGAGTTTTAAAGAGTGAATATGCCTTTCACTCAGGCTGTACTACATTAGACTGCCTTCCTACTTTGACTCCTTTTGCCACCTTTCTTGGGTTTGACAGCAGAGTGAGAACTTGAGTGCTCATAGCTTTAAATGACCCTTAACTGATTTCCTGGAAGAATCAGGTCACAGTCTGAACAAGTGACACTCTGCTGGAGGGAGGGAGGGGTTACCTGTGGACAGAAATTTTTTTGTTGGGGATGGATTTGACCAAATTCTTCAGCTCTGTGCATCCTTTGAAAGAGTATGTTTGCTGCTGAAGCCAGGACTAGAGGACGCACTTGTCTTTATCCAACTTTATCTTCCCTGCAAACTCTGTTCATCCTTTGGATACTAGTACAAGGAACAGCCTCACTCTGGCCCTGCCATCCATGGCCATCCTGCTCTCCAGGGGGAAGCATGAATGTCTGTCCATCTCCTTCCATTTGCAGAGCATTTTCTGACATCTCAGCTGATCTCCTCACTCCCCCCCACCCTCCTCCCCACTCCCACCCCACCTCCACCCCGTGTTATACTCAAGCATGAGATGGAGCTCTGGGTATGTGCACTTGCGTTTGAATAGTCAGCAGGGTTTCTTGAGTGGGCAGACATCTTTATAGATGATCACACACTCAAATGTTGGTCATAGGGCAGAGTTGACGAGTTGGTGTCATTTTTTTTCTAGACCTTTCTGTGAAATCCCAAGAATAGCATTTGTTGACAACTTCGATGTGTCTCTTGAATTCTCAGTGACTGTGGGATGTTTCTCTGGTTAAAGAACAATGTGAAAACTCCAGAAGTGTTAGCCCTCCAGCTGACTAACACCTTTTCTTTCTTTCTTTCTTTTCTTTTTTTAAGCTCTTGAGGATACCGCTGAGTGACTATGGGAAACCACGCTGGAAAGAGAGAGCTAATGATTGAAAAGGCCAGTAAGGTAAGACCGGCTGAGGCCAGCCCTCCTGCCCTGTGGCTTTGGTCCAAACAAAGATAAAGTGCAGTTTTAACAAGAACAGTTCCCGAATGGCTTGGTGAAGGCTGGGTCCTTGCTGTTCTGTTGTTATAGATGTTGTTACTCATCTATTCAGGATTGCTGTCAGTGGGTACATGGTGGCCTGGAAAGACGATGGAGGAAAGGAATACAGTCGCACAGAAAGTGGGAGGGAAAACAGAAAGGGAGAGGAGAAGGATGCACCTGGGAGCCATTCAGCTCACTCTAGGCTCAGATAGTGTAGCTGTAATAGTTTAGTGAAGGCAGGGTTGGAGCCAAGGGGCACCACAAAGTCACACCATACAACAGAACTCACGGTTTACAGGGGGAGGTGCAGAAATGGCCTCTGCGGGAGAGCTGAAGGAAAAGAGGAAGCAGGGGCAAGAAGGGCTTGCTCCAGCTGACTAACTGAAGCACATGCGCACAGGAAGTGCCCTACTTAGTGGCTGACGCTGATGGCCGTGTCCTGTTAGGTCCCTGAGAGCAGGCCAGTGTAAATGCCTGAATGCTAACAGCGGGGTCCTTGCTTCCTTGAAAAAAGTGTTCTTGTCTTTCAACATACCTTTGTCAGTAGTATTCCCAAATTCCACTCTCTCCTTCACCTCAGTGTTGAAATCGTGAACATTTAGACCCGTTCGCAATCTGTGTTAGTGTACATACAGCACCTGCCTGTTCCGTGGAGCCCTGACATCGGCTTGGGAAGCTCGACCTGAGTCTGGGGGTGGGCAAAGGAGAAGTAATTGGGCTGTTTCCTCAGCCGGGTGCTAACTCAGACACCTGCCTTCCGAATTCAGCTGTCGGAAATGTGGGTAGATCGGGGCCTTTGCCCGCGGAATAGCAACATCCCTCCCTCCCAGTTCCCTCCCAGGGTCTTGCTCTGCCCTGGCTGTGCCTCTCAGTCTCTCAGCGGTCCACACGCAGATACTCAGCTGGGACGTGCAAGGCTCCTGTGTCCACCACATATCCCACTCTTGTATGACCCAGGTTTTCCCTGAAATTGGGGTTGTCCCTCTGCCTTCAGAAGTTCACGCTGTCCATGGCACACCAGCTGCTGGCAGCCCAGCCGCAGTTTTCAGTTCTGTGTCTTCCCCACACCTTCTACAGCTTGTCACAGAACGTTTGGAAAGCACAGATAGGCAAGACAGAAGAAAAAGAAATTAGGAACTATACCCTTCTTCCAGCCAGACAAACTTAATTGGGCACACCAACTTCCTCTCCCAGGTGGGGTCCCCGTCATGCTCTTTCCTGGGGGAGTTTGACCAGTGCTGTCACTGGTATCTCTGAGTCCCTCCCTGCTCTAGATCGTCAAACAGATTCCCAAGTGGCCACAGAGTACACTGGCCTACATTTCTGTTCATTCTTCATCCTTGAAGAATCTTTGTGAGTCCCAGGTAATATATTCTCTTTGTTACCTTTTCATTGTTCTGATAAAGCATGACCGAGGCAACTTGCAGAAGGAAGGGTTTATTTGGCTGATATTTCCAGAGGGTTAAGAGTCCATGATGGCGGAAAGTGTGGTTGCAAGCATCGGGCACGCAAGCAGGAACCGGATGCTGGGAGCTCACACTGAACACAAGCACAAAGCAGAAATGAACTGGAAATGGTGTGGGGCCTTTAAACTCTCAAAGCCCACGTCCTGTGCCCCACCTCCAGTGCTCACCTCCAGTGTCTCACCTCCAGTGTCTCACCTCCAGTGTCATTGTCATCAAAACTACCCCAAATGTCCACTTGCCAGTTTTCTGAGCCCCCTCCCCTGCCCCCACCACCTAATTCACAGGGGAAGAAAAACCATTCAAATTCTTTTTCATCAATCTTATCTCCAACATTAATGTCCCTACCACTTGGAACAAAACATGGTATGGCCGTCACACAGAAGCTCTTTTCAAACGCTCACCGCCTCTCTCCTGTAAGCCCGAGCAGCATTTATTTAATAACAGTAAATGGTAAGCCATCTCTGCCTGACTCCACTTCAAATTCCATTTCCATATCAGCCAGGGGGCAGTCACACACGACTGGATGAGCTCACCCCCAGAAACGGAGTGCCAAGTTCTGTGCTGCCCTGCTAGCACGTCACCTGAAAGTTTCAAACAGGATTCTCTAGCTTCTCCACTACTAACTTATATAAATGAGTCGAGTTAAGGTGACTCGTCACTATAACACAGTTAGCATGCTTACGGGTTCTGTGGCTGCCACTGCCTGTAATGCCCGGCCCTCACGGGTTTTAGGAACTCACTTTGGCCAAGCCAGCTTAATTAGAATCTGCTCTCACTAAAATCGAAAGTGGAAAGACAAGTAAGTGCTCACACAGTGCCAGGTTGTCACAGCCTGACATAGCCAACTGCTCAGAATGACTGATTTGAAACCCCAGCTTCAAAAAAACTCTGTATCTCCTTGTTGACTGACACTGCTAAATAACACGGTATACCTTGGATTTGCTCCAGTCTGTCAAAGGGAGATGGATGAGTCGATGAGGCCTTTTCGTGGGCTTCTTTTGAAGCCCTTACTTTTAAAGTTCTGATGACTTAAAAACCACAGACCCTTAAAACTACGGTCTCCATGTGTGTTTTCATATGTAAGAGTTCTTTCCCAATTAAGCTTAGGCTTTTGTAGTGCTTCAGAGTCCATGGAAAAGGCCCTCTGCTTCAGGGTCCTGAGCTGTGTTCCCATGGAGGGAGGGCCCTGAAGGGAGAAGGAACTACTCCCATTCATCAACCACTCACTGATCTGGAGCTGTGAACTGGGACTGGCCCCAGGAAGCTCCAGACCCCTCTGTCCCATGAAGAATTCCCCTCCTCCCACATTGAGACACTGGGGCAACCCAACAGCTCTTCCATGACTCTCCTTACACCTTCCGCCACACAGCCAGATGCCAACAATCATGCCAGTTTGTCTCTGACTGGCCCCACAATAGCAGACTCCCTCAGGTTCTCCAGTGTGAAGACCCCCTATGTCTCCAAGGCTTAAACACCCCAGTACAGCAAGCCCTCAAGTGTCTGGCAGATAAAACCCCTTTTAGCATTCCTCTGCTACACAGAGTGTCTTCTCTTAGACTCCAGGCATCACTGGTCATGGGGAAGAAAGCCAGGGTTCTCAGTCTCTTCTCTTCATCCACCATATTCAAGTCTCTCAGGCCAAGTTTTCCCAGAGGGAAACACAGCCTAGAAATGTAATCACCAACTTCTCCTGCTGAGGAAGAGCTCTAGGAAGTTAGGGCAAGGTGAAATGTGCCATGCTGTGATATTGGCGAGGCCCTACCTAAGACACTGCCATCCAGCTGGAGAGGAGGGCTCTGGAGTCCTATAGGGGACCAGAGAACACTAGTTAGGGGGGCTGGGGACTAGCCTCCTGAGACATGTCACAGTCTCACAGACTGGGTGTCAGTTCCTCCCAGTGTCATTCCTGCTTTCAGAATTGGGGGCATCCCCATCTTCTGAGTCTTCAGTCATAAACAGCTGTCCCTCACTAATTCACCAAATTTTTACCACTCTGTCCTTCTATGCCCAGTTTCCATCTCTGTTATAGCAGTTTGGAAAACCAGGGAATGAGATGACTCCAATTGCCCTGGGTAGTTTAGGGGATATGCCCAGGAAAAAGTTGGGGTGACCACACTCCTGAAAGCTTCTGGGGGAGGCAGGCTGGTCCCATGAGCTAAAAGCAGCCTCCTGATAGGGGTGTCCTGTGCTCAGCTCTCATGGGTATTAGAGAAGGCTAACCCCTCCATCATTTTCTTTCTCACAGGTCACAGGGCAGATGTCTGGGATCCAGCAATCCATGGGGTGGGTCTCCTGTCAGGCCTTGTAGGTTTCACCTTCTCCATGTGTCTCCTGTTGTCCCCTGTAGGTCGCCATGTCTTAACTTCCCTTTCTCATGTTGGAGCGGGGCCCATGCTAAGAGCTGAAGTTTAACTGGGCTTCCTCCTTGATGGCCCATTTTTAAACAGTTATTTTCTGAGGTGCTGGGGATGGATTTGGAAGTAGAAAACTCAGTTCTCAAGCTATGTATTATTTGATAAGTCCTGGCAAAGACGGGACAGTTGAGACATTAGGAAAGAGAACTCTCTAGGTCTAGCTTGGCACTTGGTCTCGGCATCTGAGCCTTTCCCCAGGAAGCTATCAATACCTCCTTTTGGACAGATGCCACAGCACAACCCAAGCTATCATTCTGTCCCTCTCCAGAAAGACCCTATCTCAGTGCAGGCTCTGTTATACAAGATACATCCAGACCTGTTCTAACCCACAGGGCAGACTCCTGAATTCTTCCTTACATCTTCTGGCCTGACAGGAACTTGTAATTCCTAAGTGGTTACATCCCTTCAACTCCCAGATATATACTTGGGGTTGGATTAGTCCATTCATGCTTTATGCCATGCATCCATGAGTGTCTTTGTAAACACCCAGTGTGTGCCCAACACTGATTGACTCTGATGAAAATCCCAATTTATGGCACCAGCCACTTAGATGACATTGGGCTGCAGCCACCTCAGGACCATGGAGGAAGCTATACTCTGAACAGCAGAACAGTAGCACAGTGATACAAAGTATATCTGATCCATCCTCAAGATGACTCACTGCCTAAAGAGGTCCAGTGAGATTTTGACACTCACAGCATCTGGAGGCATGATGGGATGCAAATGCTGGTTAGCATAGAGCTAGCTAACTGTCAAGTTGGCAGACCATAGAATCACCTGGGAGAGGGAACCTCGGTTGAGGAATTGCCTTGATCAGAGTGGCCTGTGGTCATGTTTATGAGATTGAGTTGTGAGGACCCAGACCACTGAGGGCGGCGCCATCCCTAGTCAGGCGATCCTGCACTATGTAAGAAAGCTAGTTGAACATGAATTGACAAGCCAGTCAACAAGTAGCATTCCTCCGTGGTTTCTGCTTCAGTTTCTTCTTGAGTCCCTCCCCTGACTTCCATTGATGGTGAGCTGTCACCTGGAAGTCAAT